CCACCCCACCCCCCCAAAACCAAAGAAAATGATGTAAATGTCCGTATTACCCGTAAGCACCTTTTGTCATTAGTACCTCTCATACAATCTTTTGTGATTTACAGCAACCACGAAAAGGAAAGACCATGATCATTCAATAGAACCTGAAATTCTGAAACGAAAGGCGGGATTAAGGGTCAATCTAACTGGTCCCGAGTCCATTCAAAATCCGGTTTGTGTCTACGAACTTTCCTCCACTTATTTTGACTTCAATAATTGACTGTGAAACTTAGCATTATGTTTTTCCATTTTGTCCATGCATTTGAGGTCATTCTCTGCTTTTGTTTTAATCTCTTCTTTATGTTTAACTGAACATAGCCTGCCACCACTACCACAAGTCACTTGGAAGATCAAGAGATGGTCCTCCTCCTTAAAGAGAACAAAAGGCTCTACGCACGGTGAGTTCAAAATGAGTCACTTGACTTCTTTTTTATCCTAATTATTCCCACCATGACGGTATTTGCTTGGATACAGAGTTTAAGGTAGAATGAATAACTTTTGACACAAGATAAATAACATACTAAAATTACCTTAGGATCATGTGATCTTCTACTTGTTATTTCATCCCTATAAGAGCATGTCATTAAGAGAAAATGAGAATTTTAAAATAAAAGAGTTAACAAGTATAAAAAGGTGTCAATCTTTTTGAAACAGAACAAAAAGGAACAATGTTAGATAAATAGAATGGAAGGAGTAGTATGATAAATTCCAAATTCCAATTGCACCCGTACTTTCGGGAAAGTACAATTCAGAAAGATAAATATACTTAGCTCATGATTGCCAGCACTTTGCCTTCTTCCTTGTAAACGTGTTGTTCATGATAACCAGCATTTTGCATTCTCCCTTCTCGTAAACATCTGGAGTTGTTACTTGTAACATACTAGTCTTTTCAGATGCTCTTTTCTAAAGTTCCCTTTCATGTGCTTTTTCTGTCCTTCAGATGCTTTGAATATGAAAAGATGGATGAGGAACTTAATGCTAAGGTATACCTAATAGAGTTTGCTTTAGCTGTTGTGTTTTGATGTTCCAGTTGAACCGCAGCATCTAGTTTCAAGTTTTTGCTCTAGTATATTATGAAAGATCTTGAGAACCATGTATTGTTTATGCAACCTATGTAGGTAACTTTGCTAAGGAAGGAACTGAAGGAAGCCCAGCGCGAATACGGTCGGTTGCTAGTTGAATCAGGATCCCTGGAGTACCCCAAGATGGAAAGTGCTGTTACTCTATAGATAATACTTGTTATAGTGCTCGTATGTATATATTTTTGTAAACTTTAAGAAATCCCTTGCTCAACTTCTATCTGCTTGTAAGAATAGGGAGCTAACTTGTTATAGTACTTGTATGTACATATTTTCTGTAAACTATAAATTTTTGGTTAAGAAATCCGATGTAGCGTCTGCTGAAACTAGCAGTTTTTTCTTCTGTCTGTGACCTTCACATCTGCACATTTGCTTGTCCCTTCCATATAGGGGTGGATGCAGGTGGAAGGGAGTGGGGTTCACGTGCACTCGTACTCCCCTTCCTAAATCATTATAGTAATGCTATCTCTTTAAAACTTCCTAAATCATTATAGTAATGCTATCTCTTTAAAACTATATAAAATATATGTGCACCCAAGATCAAAAAATTCTATGGTATATGACTCACCTTTAGCTTATCGAGAATATAGCCATGGATAGGAGCACATAGATGTCGAGAATTAGGGTAGTAGGTTAGGAGGTAGTAATAGTAGTCTAGTATTTCTTTGTCTTATATTTCTATTACTAACTACTGCTTCTTTTGCTTCGGTTTTTCTATTATCTTGTTGCTACTCTTCTTTTTTCATGGCTTCTTTACTACTTTATTTCCTTTTTACTACTGCCGGTTTTTGCTTTCCTTGAGGCTTGAGCCAATGGTCGATCGGAAACAACATCTCTAACTTCACAAGGTAAGGGTAATGTCTGTGTATACATTATCCTCCCCACATTCCACTTATGAGATTATACTGGGATTGTTGTTATTGTTGAGTCTAAACTAGTACTAGTAGTGAAGGATGTACCATATAGTCAACAGATTCAATTGAACCAATAGTTTTGACACGGCGTGTGGAAATCACTAAAAAGGATAAATAAATCTCACATTTTAAGGAGCAAATCTATGCATTTCTATTTATAACCGCTAAACAATACCCTGCCAGTAAGTTCCCCACCTAGTGTAGTTTTTTAGCCAATTTTATTAGGATTTTGTCCTAATTTTCTTTGCATATTTGAGTTTTATCCTTTCTTGAAGGAAGGAAAAATAGTTTAGCATAATTGATTTTACTTTTTCTAAATGGAAAAAATAGATCTCTACCATATTTGACTAGTCCTTTTCTTGGAATAGAAGTTTTTCACTTCTATTATTTGAGAATCCCTCCTTCATACAACAATATAATAGCATCCACAATATAGTCATTAAAGAGTCTTGTTTAAAGGGAGATTCTTCTCTCAATAGTTTTTAATATTTTTCTTTTATATTAGTTTTCACATATGTAAGTCAATTGACCAAAACCTCGTTATAATATTCTCTTATAATATATTTTTATTTTGTCATTTGATGAATTATTACCAATGTTTATTTTGTTAGATTCTACATGACGCCTTGTTATTTCGATACCAATAAGTGGTATAATCAGAGCTAATGGTTCAACGAGGTTAAAGATAGGTTCAAGGCGTGTTCAAATCAAGTTCAAGCCAATTTGACGATCATGAAGATTTCTATCTAAAAAGAATCAGCCTGAAATACTACACGTGGATATACACGTGGAGATACATTTACTAAAGACCTGACCGGTCGTTTTGGTTACTTGCACTTCCGTTTTGTGGTCCGAGGCCGCAAGTAGTTTCATATGATGTATTGTGACTTGCGTATATAGTCGATTTCGAATTTCGAGCGGTTCGGGATTGATTTGGAAGAATGATTCTCATTTTAGAAGCTTTAAGTTGGAAGAATTGACCAAGTTTGATTTTTTTAATGTTTGATCTCGAATCGGAGTTTTGATAGTTCTGTTAGGCCCGGATGGTGATTTTGGACTTAGGTGTATATCCGGATGTGAATTTGGAGATTCCTAGGTTGTTTTGTCTTGGATTAATGAAAGTTGGATAGTTGGAAGGTTGGTAGGTTTGACCGAGAGTTGACTTTATTGATATAGGGTTCGGATTGTAGTTTCGAGAGTTGGTATAGGTCCGTTGTGTCATTTGGGACTTGCATGCAAAATTTGAGGTCATTCCGAGTTGATTTGATATAGTTCGACGTGAGTTTTAAAAGTTGAAAGTTCATTAGTTCATTAGGCTTGAATTGAGGTACGATTCGTAGTTTTGATTTTGTTTGGTGTGATTTGAGGCCTCGAGAAGGTCCGCGTTATGTTATGGTATTGGTTGGTGAGATTAGATGGGGTCCCGGGGGCCTCAAATGTATTTAAGATGGGCTACGGGCCATTTCCTCATGTTTTGAATTGCTGGTTTTGATATCTGGTTTTCTTCATCGCGAACGCGACTAAGAAGTCGTGTTCGCGTAGAGTAATGTGGTTGCAGGCATTTTATACATTGCGTTTGCGAAGAGGATCACACGTTCGCGAAGCTTGGGAGCTGTGTCCTTCACGATCACAAACTAGATACCATGATCGCGTAGAAGGGAAGCTGGAGGGGGCATCAGGTAATTGTTCTCCGCATTCGCGAGTGAACAATCGCGTTCGCATAGTTTGCTGGGAATTGGTCATCACGTTTGCGACTGAGGTGTCGTGTTCGCGAAGAGGGGTTCTGCAGCTGTGCATTTTGTTCTTCGCGATCACGTAGGTATTTCCGCGATCGCGATGTGTATACCTGGGCAGTGCTTATATAGTATTCTATTTTGAGGGCTTTTGTTATCCATCATATTTTGAGTTAGAGATCTCGGTTTTGGGCGATTTTGGAGGGAATTTTTACAATTTGGATTTGGGTAAGTATTTTTACTTGGATTTATTTATATTTTGTGATTCCAACCTCGAATTTACTGCTTGATTGATGATTTGAATTGGAAAAATTGTGAATTTTAGTAAAAACTTTTCTAAAATATAAATGGATGATTTGAAGGCCAATTTGAGGTCAGAATTGGATGATTTTGGTATGGTTGGACTCGTATTGAAATGGGTAATCGAAATTTTTGGGTTTTGTTGGGTTCCGAGGTGCAAGTTCCGGGTTGACTTTTTTTTTTTTGCATTAAAGATCGAAATTTTATTATTCGGTATAGTTTCCTATGTCTTTTATTTATGATATTAAGTTATTTCGGCTAGATTCGATCCGTCCGAAGGTTGTTTCACACCGGATTCTTAGAGTATTGGTTTAGCTTCTTTGAGGTAAGTATCTTTCCTAACTTTGTGTGGGAGAAACTACCCCGTAGAATTTGATCTAATTACGTTATTTGTACTATGTGAAAGACGTATACACAAGGTAAAAAGTGTGTACCCGGGCTTATATGTAAAAATCGATTTAGACTCTTAGGTTATTAATATACTTTTAGTTGAAGTTGTTATTATATGGAATATCTTTCATTGTCGAGTTATTTTCCGTTTCATTTTGTTGTTGTTGAAATTCTAGAATACGTCGTTGTTGAGTTGTGGGCTATGCTTTATTGTGATATTGATATTGTTATTTTGGTAATATTGTGGCATATGTGGACATATTGTGGGGATTAATTGTTGTTGTGCGAGGCATAAGGGTTGCATTTCACTATTGTTGATTGTGCGGAGCTATGCGGGTGGCTATTGATATATTATTTGGGCGGACTGATACGGGTAGGGTATTGATATACTGTCTGGGCGGAGCGATAGATGTAGCTATTGTGTTATCGTTAGGGCGGAGCGATATGGGTAACTATTGATACATTGTCTGGGCGGAGCTATACGAGTGACTATTGATATATTGTCTAGGCGGAGCGATACGGGCAGCTATTGATATACTATTAGGGCGGAGTGATAGAGGTGGCTATTGTGTTATTGTTAGGGCGGAGTGATACATGTGAGTATTGATATATTGTCTGGGCGGAGCGACACGGGTAGCTATTGATATATTGACTGAACAGAGTGATATGGGTGGCTATTGATATTTTGTACGAGTTATTTGATTAATAAGTGTCTTGACTTGAACCTCGTCACTACTCCACCGAGGTTAGTCTTGATACTTACTGGGTACCAAATGTGGTGTATTCATACTATACTTCTGCATGTTTTTGTGCAAAACCAGGTGTTGGAGGTTGTGGACCCAGGCAGTGTTAGCTTCTTTGATTGCGAGAATTCAAGGTAGAGCTGCTCGATCGTCGCAGTCCCTTCAAGTCCTTTCCTTTTAATTATACTGTTAATTGTTTTGAGATATTTCTATGTATTCAGCTAGAGTTTTTAACTTTGTACTACTTAGTCTTAGAGATTTATTGTGATTATCCCCGTGTTGTCTTGTATCACCTTTACTTTCCGCTTTTATATTAAACTCTGCTTCATTATATGCTCCAAATTTTAACTCACGCTTGCTTTTAATGCATGAACTCCCACTTTAACCCTACTCTCTTTTAATATAAGGCTCCACTTTTAACTCTACTTACTTTTCTCGTAGGACTCCAATATTTTTAACACGTGCTCACTTATAACGCACATGACTTTAATTTTCAACCAATACCTACTTTTAATCATGGAAAACAACAGTTGTGAAGATTATGTGAAGAAGGTAGATCGAGTTAGTCAAGAAAATTCAGGCCAAAAAGGGAGAATTGTTAGGATTTTGTCCTGATTTTTTTTTTTCATATTGAATTTTACCTTTTGTTGAAGGTAGAAAAAATAATTTACCATAATTGATTTTAGATTTCTACCATATTTGACTAATTCTTTTCTTGGATGAGACATTTTGTGCTTTTATAAATTGAGAATCCATCTTTAACACAACAACATAATAGCATCCACAATATAGTTTAAAGAGTCTTGTTTAACGAAAGATTATTCTCTTAGTACTTTTTTATATTTTTCTTTTATATTAGTTTTCACATATGTAGGCCAATTGACCAAAACTTAGCTATAGTATTCTCTTATAATATATTTTTATTTTGTCGTTTGACTTAGCATTGCTAATGTTTATTTTGTTGGCTTTCGCATGACGCTTTATTATTTCGATCCCAACAAATCTCAGCATGTGCAGAGATAAGAGTGAGTTACTCTAGTGGTGAGCACCCTCCACTTCCAACCAAGAGGTTGTGAGTTCGAGTCACCCCAAGAGCAAGGTAGGGGGTTCTTGGAGGGAAGGAGCCGAAGATCTATCGGAAACAGCCTCTCTATCCCAGGGTAGAAGTAAGGTGTGCGTACAAACTACCCTTCTCAAACCTCACTAGTGAGATTATACTGAGTTGTTGTTGCAGAAGATCAAAGAT